TCTGACATTGTTTGAGACAGATCCAGCTGATTTCCTTGAATGTTTCCTAAAATAAAAAATATAATATATATATAAAAGGTATTGTGTTTATTGACAATCTTCAAAAGGGGCCACACAATCAATGGAGAGTACTATGTAACTTGCTGATGCCAGGAAAACTAATGAAAGTGGTCTTGTTTCATCAGGACAATGCTCCAATACACAAGTCTTTGGTTTCAATGACTGCTGTGCATGATTGTGGCTTTGAACTGGTTCATCACCTGCTCTATTCTTCTAATTATCATTTCTTCCCCAACATGAAAAAAGCAATTGGCTGGGAACCAGTATCACAGTGATGAAGATGTCATACCTGCTGTTGACTTTTTGACCAACAGGACAGTCTTCTTTGAACAGTCAAATGTCAGTTTACCTGGAAAGAAACAATGCAGTTATTGGTAAGAAGAATTGAAATTAATACATGCAAGGTTTCACAGCTCTAGCATCATTCATTTATAATCAGCCTAATTGCTAACACATTTTGAAATGAGAAATCCAATAAAATTTGAAAATACTGAATTTTTAAGGAATAACATTTTTAAAGGCATGTCAAGAATGTATTGATGTATTCCGTCAGTTTTTCTGTTTTATCAGCTTAAATTATCAATTTCCAAACTATTAGCCAAAAAAGTTATAAAATTTATATAACAATAAAATTTATTTTCTTTCCAACAATATGCAGTTTATGGACACACAATAAGAAGATTCAATTCCTTTAACTCAAAAAAAAACTAAATGCACACAAAATAGTTAAAATAGTTATAATTACACCTTCCATTCTAAGTATTTTAGCAAATTTAAATTACTACAACCACCAATCTACTCACATGAAATAACTCTTATGCAACCATATTATTCATTTTGTTAACTGACAATCAGATTTTTAACAAATGTCACAGTTTGCAAGTATGGTGTGGGAATAACAAATATAAACAAATTTTATTATCAACATTTTTTCTTTTTAGAAATATTACAATGAATACAATTTTAATGAATGAACTTTTGGCACTACTTAAATAGACTGGTCCATTCATAAGAAATAGGAGCATATTTTTCAGGAATAATTTTTTGTAGATTAGCATTCCTCAAATTACATTTGTCAGAGTCAAAAAATATTGACTTTCTTATTGATTTTGGTGGTGTTCTGTTGATATTGATACAATGTAAAAATCAACCCCTGACTTTTAAAGTTATTGAACTTGTTATTTACAAATGTTAATTTTGAAATTGGGCTTACATCATTGATATCTGCATAATTTTTCTTTTTTTAATTTTCTAAACTTTTAAAACTTTTCTTTTTTAAGAAGCACATATACAAACATTTTTGGATAATAATTATTTATCTTAAATGAATAAATAGATATGTACTTTTAGCTTATGTAAATTTTTGTTCTTTAATAAAAAGAAATGCATATATCCATTTGCTCTTTATATAATAGAAATCTTTTCCTTTTAGAAAAAAATGTTTGTTTTTTTGTGCAGAATAACCAATAACTCTAAAGTCTTGGATAAATTTTACACTATATTGATATAGGAACAGGGTTATCTTTCTAAAATGATAAAATATCAATATTTTTCAATTATGACAAGTGTTGTGGCCTAAAAAAGTCTAAACAAAAACTAATCTACACAAATTATTTCCAAGAAAGTTTTTTTTTCTTTACAAGTGAACCAGTCTGTTTAAGTAGTGCCAAACTTTTATACACAATCTTAATACTTGTACTTTTGTAAATGATAAAATCTCTGTTGGTAAAACCTGATGCCCTGACAATTTTTGGCATCTTGTTCAGTATGTGACAAGTTGAAAAAGGTTGAAAATTGCTAGATTAAAAAGTTGTTTTCATTCAGGTTGAAATGGACGATATCATAAGGGAGAGAAAATGCAGGGTTTCTGGTTAGGATTAGACAAATGGATCAAAAACGAAAAACAAAGCACAAAGCATCTTATTCTTCATAAGGGAGAATTGAGGCATCAATAAAAAAGAAATTAATTTTTTTTTAAATACTAGTAACATACTATGCAAATTTTAATTAACATTTTAAAGATCAATTTTCATTTTAATCAATTTTTTTTCATCAATTAGGAAATCTTTTTTATATATTTTTTTTCACCAATTTACAAATATACTTTTATGTAAATTTTGCCTTCTGTATTTTTTAAAAATAAAGAGCTGAAATCCTTAGCAAAAAAGGATTGAAAAACAGTAAGCTATATATTTTCTTAAAATTCAATAATTTGCTTCTTTAAAATGAGATGGCGTTTACATTAGTTTTGAATATACTAATAGTTTGTCATGGAGTCTTAGAGTATTTTAGAATTTTTATGTCTATAAGTAATTAATATTAAGTGATTAGACTAATGTAAACTACTTACAAAAATGCAAGAAGATATACAGCAGTAAAAGGTTTTCCAACAATATCAAATTTAAAATACTTTTAGTTTTGAAGTAGATTATGCTATGAATGCACTTGAAAAGTATTTTAATGCATTTCAGAAGCTGCACTGCAACAGCTAAAGGTGCTGATAAATGCACCTATCATTTACTTATGTCTGTGCCTCTTCCAAGCTGCCAAACTACAGATGTATCTTTACAGTGGTAAACAATAAGCCACTTAGCTAAATATCAATTTGTTTAATTTTTAATAATAAATATAACTTCTGGAGTAATATATATGTTGCCTGTTGTGTAAATTATCACATTTACATTAATACAATCTGGAGAGATACCAGTCAGAATGCATAGTGATGTTGAAAATAGGCCATTTGTAGATTGCAAGCCACTAAAGATGTGGCATTCAATTTATTTATACATTTAAAGCCATTAAAAGTCATAAATACTATTTATCATGGCTTTGATTGGTGTCAATGTGGGATGGAGGTTAGGGCTTTTGTCAATTCAATCTAATAACATTATAATGTCATCAGAGAGAGACTTGGTGCATAGTAAGGTGCTCTGTCATATTGGAATATTTCACCTTTTGCTATATCTGGGAACTTAGCAAAGTATTTCTTGGTGTTAAGTATCCCATCGTTTTTATTATCTCCCTTATATCATTGCAAAAAAGACTCAGAACATGAAAAAAAAAGGAAAAGAATAGTGATATTTTTATTGACAAGAGAATATATCGAAAAGACCATTTAGTACAAAGAATAATCCACAATATACAAAGATTGTAAAATTCAGTGGTAGGAACGTAATAGGTTGGAACTACATCAAAAGTATCACATCTCATACTGTATCAATATAAATGTAACAACTTATACAGCAGTCTATAGATACTAATCTTGAAAGTACATTGTTGAGTGATTAGTTTCTTTGTAAAAATTAAACAAAAACATTTTTTAGCTAGGTGGCTCATTTCTTCCAACTTCCACTGTAACAATTTCATTGCTAGGTTAATGCAAAAGTATCTTGCATTTTTTTGACAAAATCTTTTATTCAAATGGATTCATAACATTATTATTCAGTCAAAATATTTTCCTGGCTTTCTATAAATGTACATTACTTTCAGATAAATACAATAATCTGAAGGTGAGAAAATGTACAAGTAAAAGACTTTATAATCTCAACATATCTATTGCATCACATTTTTAACATGGTGAACAGCATTGTCATACAACAAATTCACTGATTTCCTAAACCCACAAAAAAAGTCTTGCCCCTTTCAATACATCATTCAAACTCAGACTCACTAATCCTGTCAATCAACTTCATTGAAATGAATGTATAGAACTTTTTCTACTCAGAAGGCTAAATTTTCTACCTACCTTTTCATTGAACTTTTATCTTTCAAGTGAGCATAATTCATATTGATGAAATTACAATTTCATCCCTTTTATAATTAGGGCCACCTTCATCTGTTGTATTCATTATTTGTTCCTAACAATAATAAATTCATACTTATTCAATAAAGAAGTGCCTCATTTTTTTATTTGATGGAAACAGAGGCTTAATTAATTAGCATATTCTAAAATTGCTGCAATAATTCAGTTTCTGAGAGAAAAAAAAATCAGAAAAAAATTGACCCAAAAGAGGTTGAATAATTGTGTGTATAAAAAAAATCATCAGTTTTTACTCAAACTTCATTTATAGTTCATATTTATATGTACAAATATAGAAACCGTGTGTGTGTGTGCAGATATGAATGAGTGCTGAAAAGTTCTTAGCCTGACCAAGAAAAAATTTCAAAATAAATTCTAATTTCTGATGCTTAGTCCCTTGGTTAGATTTTAGGAGGTGGCTTGGACAAAGAACTTTTAGTACACTCGTGTGTGTGTGTGTGTGTGTGTGTGTGTGTGTGTGCATAAAATAATACAATTCTTTATTTGTTCAAATACAGACATGTAAAATTTGCTTTATCAATATATATATTTATACAGCACATGTAAACAATAAATAAATTTCAACATATATCTATTAATATTCATTGTTTCTTGTTTGTATTCAATATTCAAATGAAGATGAAATATGCAAAAAAAACTTTAAATCTTCAAACATATGCAAAAATCTTCATTATTTACATGCATGAGGATATGTTATGTATCAAATACAAAACATACACACATAATAATGTAAAAACATCAAATTTTCACCCAGTGAGTATATAAATTCATATTCTAAAGCCAAAGAAAAGAGAATTAATACTTAAGCTGAAAGGCATATTGTCCTAGACTCTAATTAATCCAATACAGAACTGAGACTTAAAATTGCTAAATCTATCAAATCATTTTTATATAAAAAAAATTGTGTATATCCATTAGAAAAAGAAAATTATCGAAATTTTGGACATGTAATATTTTAGTCTAATATTGCACTACATCTATAAATTGTCAGAGTGTAAAAGTTCACTAATATGCCACAAATGCTTATTAATGCTGATATTGATAGATTTTTCTTTTATGGCTTATCAAACTCTGTGGGTTATTTAAGGCCAAAATATATTTCAGATTGTAGGCAGTTACTTACAGTAGCCAGTGTTCCCAAGTAGTCCCCCATCTAAGTACTGACCAGACTCAACACTACTTAACTGTGGTGAGCAAATAAGAACTGGTGTTTTCAGCATAATTTGACCACAAGCCTATTAATTTTGATAGTCAACTAATAAAAAAAAAAAATTAATTTTACATTGAAATGATTAAAATTTAAATTTTGAATAACACTCATTTTATCTTTCCTTATTCAAATACTATGAGTCATGTAAATAGAACTTGTGTGTTTTTCATGATGGCCTATTTCACCACATTACTACAAAGAATGACAATTTTTACTGTAAGTTTTTAATGAAGACAACTGATTTGGAGTGAAGCAGAGTCACTGAATTATAGATAAATATGATCAACCTGCATCAGTTTTTAGTTAGAAACCCTAAATAAGACATACAGCTCATGAAATGGTATGAAGTTTGTATGGCAGAAAAGAAAGCAACCAAAGTTGCACCTTTTCCAAAACATGAAATTTACTTTAAAATAAAAGTACAATCCAAACAATTATGTCATCAAATATTTAAGAATTGCTCATCACAAAAAAAAAAAAAAAAAAAAAAAAAAAAAAAAATCTATGTTACTTGTTTACAATTGGCAAAGGGAAACAGATTCATTTTTGTGAGTTCGCTTGTGGTTATTTAGAGTTGTCTGGTGTGAGAATGTACGCTGACAGATGGGACAAACATATGGTCTCTCACCTGTGTGCACCCGTTCATGATTGCGTAATGTGCTCTGGTGTGCAAATGCACGCATACAGTAGCTGCACCTGTATGGCTTTTCTCCAGTATGTGTTCGACCATGGTTACGAAGTGTGCTTTGGTGTGCAAAAACACGCAGACATACACTGCATTCATAAAGTCTTTCACTATTTCGCATTGGTACATGACCCTGTTGCTGCTGCTGCTGGTGTAAATGAGTATCTGTATTGTTATGCTGTGTCTGTTCATGATTCAGCATTGACCGTTGATGCGAAAACAGCTTACCACAGATTCCACAAGCAAAAGCTTTCATCATTGTCATCATTGTTGTTGTATTTGCTCCTATCTTTGGTTCTGATTCCGTTGACACTGTCTCTGTTGTCACCACTGTTGATGTTGTTGAGGCATCAGCTCCAGCAGGTTCCATTTCTACTATAGGTGCTTGCATTTCCTGATCTGATTCCATGACAGAGCTATGGTGTGGCTCGTTTCCAGGATTAGTGACAGAATTATGAAGATGACTCTCTTCATGATTTCGTAAAGTCGACTGATGTATGAAACTTTTATTACAATAGCTGCAATGGTACGGTCGAGGCCTTTTTGGCCCAGTACCACGGTTGCCCCCAGCAATATGGCTCTGTTCATGTTTACGGAGTGTACTTCGATGAGCAAATGGTTTTAAACACACTGAACATTTATAGCGCTTTTCCCCTGAATGTGTCTGCAGGTGATTGCGCAATGTGCTTTTGTGTGCAAACATCTTCATACAGATACTACATTTGTGAAGCTTGATGCCTGTGTGAATCTGCTCATGATTTTTCAGGGTCGTCTTGTGTGCAAACAGTTTATCACACACTGAACATTTGAATGTCTTTTCACCTGTATGAATTTTCTCATGATTGATCAATGTGCTTCGATGTGAAAATGCTCGCAGACAGAGGACACAGATAAATGGACGCTCCCCAGTATGTGTACGGGAGTGATTACGCAGTGTACTCTGGTGGCTGAAAGCACGCTCGCACACGCTGCATTTATATGGTCGCTCACCCGTGTGGGTCCGCGTGTGGTTGACCAGCGTCGCCTGGTGCGTGAAGCCACGGCCGCAGTATGGACATTCAAGGGATTTGATCCCTTTATGAATCAGCTCATGACTTCGCAACTCGGCGCGCTGCGAGAATGCCTTCATGCAGTAGTCACATGTGAAATGGGTTTCATCATTTGGTGCTCGCTCATGATTGTCCAGGTTAGCCTTGCGGGAAAAACCTTTGCGGCATACATTACACTTAAAAGGTCTTTTGCTATTTTCTTGAACTGTCATCATTGTTCCCACCCCTGCAACTGGAACTTGATGTGCACTGTGTTCTGCATTAGTCCCACTACCATTACCAGTGCCTGGATTTGGTATTTGAATTTTTGACACAGCCAATTCATTTTCTGTCAATGCTGCTGTGGATACTGTTGTGAGGGTTGTCGTTTTATTTTCTGCAATATTGTCATTGTTATTATTGCATATATTGTAACTTCCAAAATACTGGTTATTCATTGGGTAAATATTTTGCACAGAATACATAATTTGATAATATTGCAATTATTTTTATTCTGAGGGCTTTTTTTCTTTTTAGCAAATTCCTTTAATGATATTTTTCAGAAGTATTATGGAGAATAATTATCTTGTTATATAAAAAAAAAATCAAGATTGCATAAAGTTTTCTTAATTTGGTGGAACAAAGGGTAAAAAGTTAATGAAAATGAGAACAAAAACCAGACAGTACTCCATACTGACAAATAAAATGTTAATTTCTATTTTCAAGTTTAAAAAAATTACAGTAAAATTTACTTGTCATAACTGTTATTAAATAGTTGAAGAGATTAAAGTTACTTGATAATGGAATTCTTACTTTTCCTGTGCATGCTCAACTCTTAAAATAAGTGTATGTCAACTTTTCCACTTTTGTATAAAATGATTCAAAAATGTAAAATAGGAAAAAAAAAAGATGTACACTTTTTGCTATAAAAATATATCCAGTTTGAATGTTTCCTTGTTCAAGTGCAACCAGCTTCTTCAATATTCAGCAATAGTTATCCTATCAAAAAGAGAAAACAAAAATACAAAGTATACCAACAACAAATAACAACATACACAATATGAAGAGTTTTGTCATAAACTCCAAAACTATAACAATTCTGAGTAAATATAACTGAAAGCAATCATAAAGCTTCAGATTTCAGGTTAACAGAGTGAATAACAGAGAGAGAAAAATATTGCATATATTTCTTTGATAATGGCTTTCTTTTTCATGTTAAAAATAAAAGAAAGGATTTTTCTTTCAGATTCTATTTAGTTTTCAATCTTCTAAATTATTTAATGGGATAAAAACCATAATTTACTTCAAATGAAGCTTCAAAATTCTCAGAATGAGGGACTACAGCTATAATGCAGAATGTAACATACAAAAGTGGACAACACTTTAAATTTAAGAAATATTGCAAATAGATATTTTTAGAAAAATGTTTAAAGTATTTTTAATTAACAATTAATTTTAAGTAACAAGAAATGTCTGTGTATCTTGTTATGCATTTCTTCACTAGTACAAGAGGTGAAATGAGAGAAAAGACTAATTTCACAAATTCTGTCACCTATTAACTAGTGAATACAATTTATCAAGTAAAAGTTATGATTTCAAAGAAAAATGAAAATACTATTATGGAATAATATACAAACCCAAAGATAAATGATCATGTAAAGTCTATTACATGATCATTTATCTTTGGGTTTGTATATTATAAAAAATACCAATAAAAACATCATAAATTTTAACTTCATTTTAGCGGAAAAGTACTAGATTATGAAAAATACAAAATGATTTGATCAAATGTCAAAACATTTCTCTGTGAGCTAAGCATTCGAAACACCTTTTTACCATTCACCTACTACAAAGTTCAGTAATTTATTTGTTTTTTTTTAATATTTCTTCCTATTTCTCATAAAACCTTGCTAAAAGCATTTCCACAAGAATATAGAACATGCATATTTTTGTTTATTACTGTATTTAAAAGGTGTTCAGTTAATTTTAATGCAAGCAAAAGTATCATTTGTAAATTACCCACCAAAATGTTATACCTACAAGCACAAATATACAAACACATGAACAAGCAGTGAGTATCAAATAGAAAAGACTTGAATCATTTTAAAACTCAAGAAAAATTTAACTTTACAAATCATAAAATTGTTTTCTGTAATGGTCAGTGATATAGTTGGCTGATTAATTATTTTAGCTTTGTTTCTACTTTCATAATTTATGTCATCTTCAACTTTATAACAAAAAAGAATTTATTTATTCAAAGACAATTTACAAATAATACCCAGCAATAAATTCTCAGCAGCCTTTCCCACCAATCCATTTGGCTCATTTATGACAGACTTTACCATTTTCATTTAAAAAGTTATAAACTCTTAATTATTTTTCCTTTTGTTTGCAATTACAAACAGCAATTATTGTATGATTCTATCCTATATCTGTTAAAAGTTATGTAAACAAGAGTATTCAAATTAGTATTTGTTATTTAAAAACTGCAATATAAATCTATGTGATAGTAAAACACCATAATTATTTTTGTGTTCTACCTGAACAATAATTGATACTTACAGTTTTTACATGTAACAATCACATTTCCATTTGAAAATCACCTACAAGAATACATTTTCTGTTGGAGATTCAATAAAGAACAAAAAAGTCTTGGTTTCGTGTGTCAATAAATTATATATGCTCAAAACATTCATTTTACATATATCTTCTTTTTTTCATTTACACCTGTGTGAATATGACTTATTTCATTGGTAAAATGTGTAATACACAAAAAGTAGATAAAAATGAATAATTATAAATATGATAGTTTGGCATAAAAAACATCAAATAAGTTCTTTTGGTTTTTAAATTCAATTGTTCACTAACTATACTTATGAAATTTATGAAATAATATTCAGGAGCAATCTAGCAAATGAAAGAATTTGATTATATAAATGGAATTGGGTTAAATTTGTGTGTTACACAGTTTAGAATATAAACTAAATGAAAATATGATAATGAAAAAGATTATAAAGACTATAGTACAAAGATTATTTTGACCTTTAAAATCAAGTAAAAATCTTGAGTTTCCTTATAGTTGGGTAATAGAGAAAAAAAAGGTACTGATTAATAGATACATAACATTTCTAAATGATGAAAGTTAGTAATTAAAAAAAGTATTTCTACTTTTGGATGAGTGTATGGTGCAAAAAGTGTTTTCATGAACTGTCAATGAACTTCTCTACTCAATTAAAAATCTATACGGTGACTGAACTCCAACATTTAAAGAGGAGTTTATATTCCAAAGTATATAACAGTATGTATTTGT